TGCAGCAGCGTTTGTAGCTGCATGCACYATCTCCAGGCAGCAGGGCAGTGCAGTCAGTCCCCATGGGTTTTCTCTGGGTGTGTCGGTTTCTTCCCACAGACCAAAAACATGCATGTTAAGTCAATTAGTAACTTTACCATTGTCTTATGATGTGAGTGAGAAAGTGAGTGGTTGTCTTGTTTGTCTTTGTGTTCCTGTGGACTCGTTGTGACTTGTGCCCATCTCTCTCACTAGCTATGTTTACTAGGTTTGGGCAAAATCTTATTGTGTGCAATTAATCGTCGGAAAAACTTTAATCGATTATTTTTTGGCACTTGACGATTAATACGATTAATGCCACCAGGCAGACTGGAGATTTTTTCGGTCAGTCTGATTGGTGCTCCTCTCCGCTTCAAATCTGCCGAATATTTAAAAAAAGTGTTCTGTAATTTATTTATCATAACTCAGGTTTTATTTGGTCTATTAACACAATTTAAAAATTGATGTATAGCCTGAAGTCTGTATTTTAGACACAATTTGGAACAGATTTTTACAGAGAGCAAATCTTTCCCACTAGAGGGATTTAAATTGGTCATAGGGCAGGGATCATCATATTTGGTCCTCGAGATCCGCAGCCCTGCATGTTTTACTTTTTTCCCTTCTCTAACACACCTRATTCAGTCGGTGAATTACCTCTTCCAAGTTTTGCAGAAGTCTGATAATCATCTATTCATTCAAATCAGGTGTGTTGGAGCAGAGAAACAAGTAAAACATGCAGGGCTGCAGAGCTCGAGGACTGGAATTGGTGATCGCTGGACTAGGGTATGAGGGAGTCTAGGGACTCCAGGTGATTAATTGTCTTATTAATTGTTATCGGCTAAATACCACAATTTATCGTGATTAATTTTTTGCCARTATTGCCCAGCCCTAATGTTTACACGAAGTAAATGGAATAAACAGCCAATCGGAATAAAAATGCATCATGTAAATGCCTCAATTGGAATATTCTGATCTGATTCGGTCCGATCAGAATAAATATGTATTCCGAATGAGAGGGGTGTTTTATGCCGATCAATAATTTGAACAACATGCATGTAAATACTCATTCTGATCATGTTGGAAAACTGACATTTACAACATTTCTATTAGAAATTTTGAAAGAGCTCAAAGTTATTGAGCGTACGATGGTTGAAAATTTTGGRACACAGGGTGCAGTAACGTCTCCATCGTTATTAAAACCTGGCGTGGCTCAGTTCACCTCAGAAGACACCAACATTTGCTTATGTTCATCACTGAGGTCGAACTTCTTCTGCATGTAAACGCTCATCATGATTGGTTAAATTAATAATGTGCCCATATAAAYGATACATTTGGATTGTTTAATCCAAATACATTTGAGTCAGACATAGCTAATGTCTTGTGAATGTGACTGCTGAAGATTGSCACCAGCTCCAGGAGGAAAATTAGGTTAAAGAAAATAGAAAAATGGTTAGATGGATGGATAGATGTTCCGTTTTCTGCTTCTTGCACAGCTGCAGGATTCTTTGTCAAGAACTGTTGTTGCTTCAAAACTGACTCTGTTCAGCCCATCTCTTAATCCCTTACGTTCGTTTTTGTACTTTAACCAAATTCCAGTTTGATTGGAGATAATTTAGCAGAATGTGTTAGTGTTTGTTCGTGCTCACAAGCCGACACAGTTTTAAATGTTTGCATCAGTATGCATACATGTAGTGTGATGAGTCATTAATTTGGTGCCTTTGGGATTAAATTACCCCATACCAGCCGAGTGACTCAGCCATCCCCATCTGTTTAACAAGACAGTGATGCTTCTCCTGAGAATCCCTCTCCGTCTCACTCAGGGACAGATTTACATTCAAGTAAGCGTTTGGGAAATTTACAAGGCACATTAATTTAGTTTGGGCTCACAGTCCATGTGTTAGAAGCACCAGATGCACCAGTGTGTCTTTTCTAAATCACCTTCAAAACAATTTGATGAAAAAATAACATTTATTGACTGCAAGTAGAAAATGGTAGGTTTTGTGTGGAGTGCGTTTAGTGGGAAGAGTTGTAGAAAGACTAAAGCAGTTATCCACATTAAGCTTGAAAGCTCTTTTTAAAGTGTCAGCATCTGCATCTGCATCCTTTKGTTGTTTTAAACACTATTGAGATGATCTTTTTTTTACCTGTATGTTTTTTGGTACATATTTCATTCCAACTGTTTTGCAATTTCAACAATTCATCAAGACGTTCAGCTCCTTCGGGACATTCCAGCTATGACTTTTGCTACTTTAGCAATTTCTACTTTTTGAGATTTTTAGCTTTTTCAGTTATTTTTTGTTCATGAAATGAATGAAAAATCTTTCAAATTGTTCATAAATCTTTACAGCACATTATTTTTTTCTGCTTTATTTAATTTCTTTTCTGTTGAGCTAATTTATTTCTTTTTGCTATTATTCTGACATTTTTGCTATCCTTTTAATTTCAAGGTTTTTAAAGCTTTGTTCTGCTCTTTTAAGCTTTTCACACTTCTTAATTTGCTCTTTGTACTAATTTCAGCTGTTTTCTGTGTTTTAGCTACTTTTTAGCTAATTTTTTTCAACTAAATTACTTTTGTGATCATTTCAGCTTCTTACTGCTTAATTCAGCAAACATGCTCTTTCTGTTTGTGCTTATTTTAGCTACTTTTAAAGCTATTTTTAGACTAGTTTCAGCTTCTTTTATCTATTCAGCAGAATTTTTCACTCTGAATTTTTGCAAGAAATACATATTCTCTAGTTTCAGGGTTTTTTTTATTTGAAAGCATTTAGTGACTAAAATGTCACAGGTAACAGAACACAGGTAACTTTTACCTTACTATTAACAAATATGTCGACAGTAATAAGATACTTGGCTCCTGATTAAGCTGTTATTGTTAGTCGTTACCATCAAACCATAATATTCAGTTTATGTCATGTATTTATTAAGGCGTGTTGGGTTTTACGTGCGTGTGGTTTTGCAGTTGCAATCTGTGTGCTGGAAAATTGAGTATCTACGCCTGATTGACTGTCAGGGATTATTTTTTGGGGTCTGTATCTTGTTGGTGGTGTGATTGTATTTGTATTGATGTAGTGATGCTGCRATCACTGTGCAGCACATGTTGAGGAAGCTCTGAATTCACATWCGAAACATGAAATGACCTGTCCTAACAGGAATGATCATCCACACAACCAGACACTCAGAAATCTATAATTACAGCCACACTTTCACACTTAGTCAGCCTGAAACACACACTATGTCACAGGCCTCATGTTGTGTTTGTCGATGTTTTATTCTTCWCACTAATACCTGATCCTTATCGAAGTTTTTCCACCGTCCACACCCAGCCTCTGCAGTATTTTCCCTGGCACACCAACCTGCATTCCTGTCCCTTCCTGTTGTAAATAATGAATAGATGGTAGAAGCAAAGGGATGTTTTCCGATCTGAATCTCACACACATTCAAACCACATACTCTCCGTATAGAGTCAGGCCATAATAAAAAAAAAGACAGCTTTGCTTTTGTAGACTGTACACTTTCTTCTTTCTTCATGTTAAGGGAAACTAGAATTGAGTGGAACTGAGTAGGAAGGCAAGGGCCAGACTAATGTTAATCTATAATTTCTGAGTATCWATATGTGTTTCCGTGTGCGCACAGATTATTTTGTCCTTCCCATCCTTGAAAATAACATTTAACATCCCTATAAACCCTACACCATGTGGGATTTTTGTGTATTTACAGTATTTTTGGGAAGGGTGGATATAATGGGATTAAGAAGGATTAAAGTAGAACCGCTGAGTCTGAACCTGCTTTTTTTCCTTCTGCCCAWCAGCCTGTGTGAGTGTGCATGTGTCTATTGGCTAGTGTTGTAGTCAAGACCACCTAACCCRAGACCAAGTCAAGACCAAGACTAGAGTGTWTCAAGATCATGACAAGACTTTTAGGGGCTGGACCAAGACTGAGGGAGGGCAAGACAGAGTCAAGACCAGAATAAAAAGGAAACTAGTACCTTAAAACATGCAGTATACTCTACACAGGCAGCTTACTTAATATTTATAGCTAATATTGATTAAATCTCTTTTTGTGAGGGTCAGATAAAAAATATTGATACAGAGGCAGATTACTAACGTTAACTAGCTAGCTTTGCTACGTATCATTCAAACRTAGTGTAMCCGAGCATATTTGGATGTTGGTTATGTTTTGGAAATGACAAAACCATGCAGCTCGTGTTAGCCGGTCTGACATTGGCGGCGTCTTTATTAACTTTCCATTCGCTGAACACCATTCGGTTCACTTCAAAATAAAAGCGTCAACATAAATCACTTACAATAGTTTACCTAATCCCGTGTTCTCAATGTCCAAGATCAAGAAAAGACTGAGATTAAATGTGGTTGAGTCTGAGATGAGACAGAGACCATCAAAAGGTCAAAAGAMCAGTTTCAAGACCGGTCCCTCAAGTACTACTAACACTACTGTGGCCCATAATTTTTCATTTTTTTATTATCATTTAGTTTAATAGTCTTGTAACTGAGTTATTTTCCAAGTTTTTTTTTTTTTCAGAAAATTCTCAGACCATGTTGAACTGGGTTGTCAAATGTTAGTCAGTCATGTATATTTTTATTAACTACTTTTACAGTATTTTTCTGTTTATTAGTATATGTGAATTTTAAGAATTCTAATGTCTGATCTATCATTTCTGAKTCTACTTGTACTACTTGTGCCTTGAAATTGCCCCTCAAATAAAATTATTTGAATTGAATACAATTATTTATTTCAGTTAGGGGTGTCCCAACACCAGCTTTTTGCAAATCAAGTACAAGTACTTCAKTTTGGGTATTAGCCARTWGAGTACACCACTACTTTCTGAAGATTGCATTGAAATCTGAAGTGGTTTATAAGCTATTTTCTTAACACAACATACAAACACTCACAATTACATTCTCGCCTGCCTTTCGTGCAGCAAACACTCCAACAGACTGACAAAATCTGTTTCCCTCCCAAACCAGAACTTTCAAGCCCTGCCGAGRCAGCCGCTTCAAATCTGCAAGATGCAGTACATCCAAGGTAAGGTGGAAACACTCCTCCCACCTATTTCAGAGACAGTGATAAATGTTGATTTGTGTGTGTGTGCGCTGGTGGGGAACGGTTCTCCTGAGGTGCACGAAAACTGATGAGCAGGGAACTCGTAAAGAGGGTTTATGAGGATGATAAAAGTCTACAGAAGCAAAGAGCTCCTCACTAAAAAAATGTCAAAGGGCACATCTCCCTGCAGAGCGGCCTCCGAATGCTCTGCTTCTRTGGCTGCATCTCATCGTTTTGCATCATCAACTTGATGTTTGTGTTATAAAATTTAAATTCTACACAACTGCATCCAAGTGTAGGCAATTGCATAATCCAATTCTGCAGATTTTATTAAGAAAATGTCAAATCTAAAAAACAATGCCAACAATAGCCAAGCTAAAAATCACTGGCCTTCTTTAGAGCTTAGTAGTTAATTATCTCATTATACTGAGATAATAAAGATCCCTTTGTTTGATAATGAGCTAATTTATGTCATTATCTTGGAATGAGAAAGCCCACTTTMATGTTACCAGATTAATTATATCGAAATTACATGAAAATTAAGGATTTGTATTTGGGATAATTACTTATCAAGAATAGCAACAAGAATATTGATGGTATCTTGATAAGTTTAGAAAGTGTAGAAGATAGAAATGTTGTTGGTTTTCTTAAATATGTCCTTATTTATGTGACCATGTAGACTTGCCTTTCATTTTGTTTAAAATCATTTTCATTTTTAGTAAATAAAATTCTGGGAGGTTAWTGCTTAAAGATATTTGACTACAGCTTGGATACTGCTCGATTTACTTAGATTCAAACCAAATTAGTGAACCAAATAGTTTTTCCTTTCGTACTTCCAAGGGATTTTATCTCAGTTTCTGTCTGCTTCAGGTTAACCAGTTTGTCTGGCTGACAATGGGCCTCATGCAAGAACATGTTCATATTTTTATCCTAAATTTCTCTTACTTTTGTTTGTATGAAGGGTTCGTACGTACATGTCATGTCAAATTCAACAAACTCTTCTATCTTCAGGAAAAGTGTGTAAATAAGGAGCATAAACTGATGAATGCGTATCAGGTACTTGTGCACGAGGAGAGGAGATTAGCATAATCTACMACCAAAAACACTATATAAGGCTACGTTTCCTGCCCCACATACCAGGAAGTGTCCACTCATAAATGACATTGCAAAGTGAAAAAGAAGAACTTTACGAGTTCGGAGATTGAAGTCTTGATTGAAGTCTCACAGGTGTTGTCAGGGTGTCAGGTGCGTTTCTGGGAGGAAAAAAAACTTTTTAAAATGTCTCCTAACTTCATTTAACTTCATATTAATATTGTAGTGTTATACAAGAGCGTTAATATCCAATTTAATCAATCTATGTCGTTAGTCTACATATTACATTTAAAATTTTAATTCTAATTCAAACCAAATAGCCTCTTGTCAATATAATTATGGAGTGGGATTCAACTCGAAATATCTTCAAACTAATGAAATATAAAGTTATTAACCAGAAAAACCCGTCTGGATAACAGCAGACTGACTGCTCGTAAAATATACGACAGGTCTGGACCACTCCTGAATTTTGTTCGTATCTGAAAAATCTCACAATATGAGAAAATTGGTGAATGCCACAAATTCTCCTAAATCACTCGTACGCACAACTTGAGAACAAATCTGTTCGTACGAACGTTTCTTGCATGAGGTCCATTGTGTTTCAAACAAAGAAAAAAACAAAGTTTCTCCCATTTGTCGATGAGTAAAACATGAGATGTCCGTCCATCTGTTGGCATGGCCTTGCCAGACTGACTGTGCAGCACTTGTTGCCAGTGTCACCACGCTCAGCTTTGTTCTTCCTTTTCCTGCTTCAGTGACTCGTAGGTGCTAACATCAGCAACTCCTGATCTGACTCAGATTCCCAGAGCTTGTTGTCATCCGGCCCTCCTCCCATCACTGCTATGTTCTTTTATATAAGTGAAACTTTTCAGYTTATGACCAGTAAAATAACAATAGCAAAGGCTTGTGACCCCAAATCTTATTGAACTTTGTAAAAAATCATATTAAACAATGACAATACAAACAGCCTCAAACACTATAAGACTATTTTTATTCATTTAGAAATATTGCATTAATGTTTTAGTTTATTTTTTACAAAATCGTTTCCATGTAATTTGATTTCTGGAAGTWATCTGGGTATCCTCCACTTGATGGTCAATCCCATGTATTCTCACTTTATATCATTCCTTCTAAGGCTGCACAATGTTAGAAAAGAGCTTTGATTTATAAATTCAACTTTAATTACCTCAGCTAGTTTGTGTTTTTATTCCCATTTGCTCGAGCTTCTGTTTTTCAGCACACATATTGTAGCTGCATCAACGAATTGTTAAATTAATAGTTTTGAAATGAATATCTGTGTTTAGTGAAATGAACGTTGTTATTTTTTTCTTGGCTATCAAACCACTTCAGGTTCAGTGAATTAATGTGCACTTTTCCTGTTGGAGATAGCCTTGCAAAATGGTTACAAACCACTAATCCAATATAAGCTATATATTTGAGTAGTCTTAAATTTTGATGCATTGTCTTTTCATTGATTTTACTTGATCCTTACAGGAAAAGAGGAGGAAGTTGTGGCTGTTCATCCTCGAGCCATGTTCATCCCACAGGAAGGCTGGACTTTTCTTGCCGCAGGTAGATCAATACATGTAAACATATGACTCTTTAATGTGGGAATGAGACAAGTGCAGTGGATCGAGCTTGAAACAACTAAGAGATTGACRCCGTGATTGTCTAAATTAATGATGAAATAAGGAAGTTATGGCCATTTTAGTAAAAAGAAATTGCTCTAATAAGCTGGTTTAACAGTAAAAAGCAAAAAAAACTTGATGATTCTGCAACAAAGAGAATGCTTCTTTACTTCTTCAGATAACTGGATGAAACTTTCAGGAGTAGGAAATGGCATACTCTTAACATTGGATACCCATATTCATCATTATATATTTTATTTATTAATTAATAACTAATTAGACACTTATAGTAAAACACTAAATTCAGAAAACGCTATGTCCACAGCAAAACATGCACCTACGAAACGCTGTGTTGGCTGAGAGGCAGATTTGTCACATRTTCAATTACTGTCTTTTTATTCTGTCGTGCTTTCCTTCTCATTTTATATAAAACAATCAAACGACTCAGACTTTATCAAATAATAAACTGTGGCAGAGTGGTTAGGGGAGTTGTCCTTTAATTGGTGGGTTTCTGGTTTGAATTCGTTCTCCATCTTTCTCAGCTATTGTGTTGTTGGGCAAGACCCTTTACCTGCCTTGCCTGATGGTGATGGTCAGAGGGTCTGGTGGCACCGGTGCATGGCAGCTTAGCCTCTGTCAGAGTGCCCCAGCACCTGTGGCTACAATATAGCTGACCACCATCAACAGTGTGTGAATTGGTTAATGACTGTAGTGTGAAGCACTTTTTAAGTCTTGAAGACTTGATAAAGCGCTGTAGAAGTGCAGGCCATTTATCATTTTTTATTTATTTTAGTTAAGGATTTAACTGAAAGCATAACCTCTAAAAAATTCTAAAAGTATTAAATTTCACTTACCTTTTGGAAAAGTCTGACCCAGATTCAGTAAAATTGTGCAACACCTGATTTACATTTTCTACACTGTCTTAGCATCGTACTCACAAGCAAATACCACTAATGATGCAAACACACCCATCCAAACATTTTGCTTTAACAATTTGATCTGTTTTTGGATTAAATCACAGATTTTCCTTTCACAATTTTAATATATGACACAAACACAGCTTGCAGAAAAATAACAGAGGAAGAGAGAAGTTTTTCACTGTGAGCTCCATGTTATAATGGATGAAGCACAGAAACATTCCTTTAAACTGCAGGAACAATATTACACCGTACCAAGGAGGAATCATGTAGAGGATAGCATTTCTAAATCAATACGTAAGTGACATTTTATATGTTCTTGAAAATCACTGCATTTTTACTTTTAAAAAATGTGTCTTGGTTTTTATTCTAGTGCTCGCTCTTTCCTAGAGGGGAGGATATTAAGCTGATAATTGTTTCATAATCGTAAGAGGTTCCCTTTCAGTCAATTCACTCGGTACAACACATCATGTATGGGAAACCACGCCCCTGCGTGTCCTGGCTGAAGCCACCTCTAATCACGCCTTTAGGCAGGTGACGTGATGACGACAGATGTCAGGCTCTGCCTGCACATATATATACTGTCGCCATCACAGTCACTCCTTAGTTCTACTGCTCTTCACTTCGCAAGAACACCTCTTCCAACCTAGCTAGTTAGCTGCTGCTAATTAGCTTTGTTTGTTTGAAGGTTCTCGGATTTAGTTTAACGGCTTTTGTTAGTGTCAGCTGCAGCTGCCTACTGGTAACTGTGTCTGCCCGCAGAGCACTAACTTTGAGAAACCTTTCTTACCTCGATGAAAGAGAGAATTTTGTGGTTCGGGATGAGCACAAAATTACTCAAGCAGAAGCAGAAGTCTTCAGTTCGCCTCTGTCCCCAGGGGTGCGGCTTCTCGCTTCACGAAAAGGACCAGCACGAGGCTTGCCCGGTCTGTTTGGGGATCGTTCACGCTCATAGGGCATTGGCGGAGCCCGAAGCGTGTGCGTTTTGCCACCTGCTTCGACGCTCAACCCTGGAGAGATGGGTTAAGTTCTTGGAGAAAGTGCTGGGCAAGGCGGCAGTCGCGCGGCAGGACCCTCTCCTCTCCGAATCTAGTAACCCAGTTCTGTCCGAGTCGGACGAGGAGGAGCCCTCGGTCGAAGTCCTCGCTTCCAGCTGGGCAGACCAAGTGGAATATATGGAGGGGTTGGCTGACTAAGAGGAGGAGGCCTCCCAGTTTCATCTGGACCTCCACCACAGCGATGAGGACATGCTGGATATCGGCCTGGATGTGCATGGTCTGTCGGAAGACAACGATGAACCCGATCCGAGTCCAGAAGCCCCCGCTGCTGCGGGGGCAAACCAGGAGGAAATGTCTTTTCTCTCTTTGTGTCGTTGCGCGGCTCAGAAACTGGAGGTGGAGTGGCCTACTCCGCCTCTTGCACAAAAACCGTCGCGGTTCGCTGGATTTTTTCTCCCCACTGAACCAACCACGGTGAAAAACCATCTTCCCATGTTCCCAGACTTCGTCTTGGAGCTGACGTCCTGCTGGACCAAACCTCTGTCCACCTGCGTCACAGTGCCCGGTTATGGACCGTATTTGGATTTGGAAGGAGCTGAAAAAGCTAGACTGGTCAACATACCTCCCATGGAGCCATCCCTGGCAGCGTATTTGGCCCCGTCTCACAACCATGGTGTGAGCGGACCCAACACGCTCCCTTCCAAGCCCTGTAGATTTTCTGCTGTGCAGCTTGAAAAAATCTACAAGGCTCAGGCCACCACTGCTCGCGGCCTGAGCTCCATCAGCATGCTCCAGACTAGGGCTGCCACGATTAATCGATTATTGAAATAATCGATGACTAATTTAATAATCGATTAATCGTTTGCTTTTTTGTTGTTCTTTACTTTGTTTTTCTCTCCAAACTGCTTTGACACCTTCCACTGCCACATCTGCCTTTCTGTCCTTGACACACATGCACAGTAGTGGTAACTAGGGTAGGCTGTGGACGTCACAAGACATTATACAGACAGGCTCTGGTATCATGGCTACCCAGCAACGGAGCTCAAAAGTGTGGAATCTTTTTAAGAAAATGAAAGAGAAACATGTGCAATATCTGCAGAGCAGAACTTGCCTTCCACAGCAATTATTTTTAGTTAGCATATAGCTAAAATCTAAAGATGGTTATACAATAGCAGCTGCATTTTGACGTGATAAGCTCTATGTTTTATATTCAATTACTGTATGATCCGATTAGTCGACTAATCGAATAAATAATCGGTGATTAATCGATTATTAAAATAATCGTTTGTGGCAGCCCTACTCCAGACTTACCAGGCTATGGCTCTGGCGGAGCTCGGAGCCCAGGTACCGGCCGAGACTCCTCTGCTGCCTCTCTTAAATGAGATCAGACTCACCRCGGACTACATCCTCCGTGCGTCCCACGGCGTAGCGCTCTCCCTGGGYAGAAGGATGGCTTCAACCGTGGTGGCGCAGAGACATTTGTGGTTGACACTATCTGATGTCCCCGACAGAGACCGGGCCACATACCTGGATGAACCAGTTATGGTGGCTGGGCTATTCGGTCAGTCTCTCGACRTTATTCAGGCGAAGTTCGAGCTGAGGAATAAGCAGGCAGAAGCTATGCGCTGCATTATCCCCAGACGGGACTTGAGACCCAAGACCAGCACAAAGAAGCCAGCCGCACAGCCGCCTCCAGCGAAGAGAAAGGTGCTGCCTGGGAGCCTAGGCACCCAGCCACCGCAGCCTCATAACCACGGCCAACCCCCCCGCCAGTCGGCTTGGAGCAAGCCCCCCCCTCCGGGTCTTCAGAAAGGCGCGACGCCTTGGAGGAAGAAGACGCAGTCCTCCTAACTGTGGGACTGTCACTGCAGGGACTTCAGGACCAGGGAGACATGTTCGCCAGTTTTCGGCTGCCGCCCAAGAGGCATTTTGTTCGTACTGTTCAGGAAACCAGCCCCAAGAGGCGCTGCGTTTCTATAACACAGTCTCCCAAGCACCAGTCCCACCTCACACACACACTGTTTGTACCAAAAGCCCCAGTTTGGGTGCGCTAAATGTTCAAAATGTAAATGTACAAAATGGTTGTGTAAACTTGTTGAATGTGTCAATAAAGGAAACACTTCACACACAAAAAAATCAGAAAAGTTGTGAGCGACGGTCATATATGTAATGCTGCGTCTCTCTCATGCGACAGAGGGCAGCAGGACTTCACTAGCACAAGTCGGTCGCCTAACGATGCGACTCTCTAGCGCGCATGCGTACCATCCTCTTGGGTAGAGAGAACTGTCGCAGTGGGTTACTGACTACAGTTCTGCATACGGCCGCCCCGTTTCAACACCGTGTTAAACACTGTTGTTGGAAACAAAGCAGCCGTGGTTTTGAGAGAGGAAATAAACACGCTACTGGCGAAAGGAGCCATACGTGTGGTCCCCTCTTCGGACATAAACAAAGGTTGGTACAGCCGTTGTTTTGTCGTTCCGCAAAAAGACGGCGGCCTCCGTCCGATTTTAGACCTGAGGGTGTTAAACAAGTTTCTACGAACATACAGGTTCAAAATGCTAACACTCAGGCAGCCTCTGCATTCGGTCAGCCCGGGCAACTGGTTTGTGACCGTCAATTTAACAGACGCTTACTTCCATGTAGCGATTCACCCGGACCACAGGAAATTTCTGAGGTTTGCGTTCGAAGGCGTAGCCTACGAATACCTGGTGCTGCCATTCGGTCTGTTGCTGGTGCCCCACACCTTTTCAAAATGTGTCGAAGCAGCATTAGCTCCTCTTAGGGAGAAAGGAGTTCGCTTGTTAGCGTACCTGCTCCAAGGAGCAGGCTACAGAGCATCTGTCTCAGGTCTTGTCGCACATTCAGGCTCTGGGTTTTTCTGTAAATTTTCAGAAAAGCTTATTGACTCCGAGTCAGTAGTTTTCTTTCCTCGGGTTAGAAATATGTTCCCTGTCGGGCAGAGCGTGTCTCTCAGAAAACAGAGTAGTTGCGTTTCACCGCTGCCTTGCTCAGTTTCAACTGGGACGCAA